TTTTTTGCCGCGCCCTCCGTGCTCACTGTTAGTGCAGGAGCTGGCAGATGCTCCCAGTAAACATTCCATCCTCTCAAAAAACATTTCCGATTGTTTCTTTTTCTTTTCCTTGCCCAGGCCAGCCTTGGCCAGGCCAGCCACCAGAAGCAGCAGGATAGCCAGGATAGCCACCAAAAGAAGCAAAACAGCCTTTGAGAGGCACCGCAGGCTCAGCAAAAGGAGAGGAGAGGAAAGGAAAGGAAAAGGAAAAGGAAAAGAGAAAGGAGAGGAGAGGATGGGAAAGGAAAAGGAAAATGAACCAGAGAGGAGGGGAAAGGAACAGGGAAATGAAAAGGAAAAGGACAAGGAAAAGGAAAAAGGACAAGGACAAGGAAAAGGAAAAGGAAAAAGAGTGGAGAGGAAAGGAAGGAAAAGGAAAAGGACAATGAAAAGGAAAAGGAAAAGGAAAAGGAGAGGAGAGGAGAGGAAAGGAAAAGGAGAGGAGATGAAAGGAAAAGGAAAAGGAGAGGGAAGGAAAAAGAAAAGGAGAGGAGAGGAAACAAACAGGCGATTTGCGGCAAATCAATTGGTCAATTGTCAATTGCTTTTCCCTAGGCGCGCGCAACTTTTGAATTAATATTGGACCTCCTTCAAGTTTGGAGAAGCCCCTGAAACCACTCAAGACGTCATTGTGTGGTCGTTCTGCCCATTCGCAATTAGCTGGCCTACCGTTCTCAGGTTGGTGTTGCAGGAGAAAGAAGTCCTGGTGAAATTGACGTCGTTGGGAGGCGTGCGCATCTACACAAAAGAGACCTATCACCAACAGTATGGCATACTCAGTATGGCAGGGACCCTGCTGACGATGGCATCCAAGCAGAATCTTTCACAGCTCCTTCTGGCCAGCAGCTTCAGGTGTTCAAGGCCGGCGCAGAGTTTCCACAGCAGACCTTAGGTGTCCAAAATGAGAATGGTGCAGATTGCCCAGCCAGCAAAATGAGGACGCCTTCAATGATTAATCTTGTTTGGCAGGTCTTCCATGGACTGAAAGATGCTTGGGAGCAGAAGGTGGAAGAGGTGAATAGGTGCCTGTTCCAGCGGGTGCTGGACTCAGGAGCTGTGTCGCTACCTGCCTGCAGTCACAGCGCCAAGTCATCTTCATTCTGAGTTGTGAGGGTTGCAAACCAGTGATAAGGAGGCAGACTTTTGTTGCGTCACTTCCTCCAGTCAGTCTTCTCATTGTTTGTGAAAGTTTCTCTTTCGTTTTTGGTAAATAGAAAAAGGAGCAATGTTTCAATTCACAGATAACAGATAAAACATATTTATAAATATAATTCACGAATTTCTGCTTCCAGGCTGACGAAAGACCAGCAAACCTCACGGTTTGTGTCTCGTGACAAGCTGGTCACGAGCGCATGGGAAACCACCAATTTGGCAAAGGCCCCCCTGGAGAAACTAGACCGCTCCTCAGACGCAGACAGCTTCCTGGCTGGATTAGAAGTATTCTGGTGCTAGCTAGCGCCACTCGAATGTTGTCTTAAGCTGTGGAGTGTTTGTCCCGACGAGGCTTGTGTGGGATCCCTGGAGGACTTCCAGGGTGCGCGTGCTGCTCTGGATAGTTTGCCAATTGACAATTGGCTGGAGTCAGTGTGGCCAGGTCCAGGCCTTGAGCACCAAGCTGCAGAAAGTGAAGGTATACGCGTCAAGTGTGCACGGCCTCAACCTCCTGTTCCACCGCTGTTTGCCAACAGGAACCGAGTGGAGCGCTCGGCATTGTGCCGCGAGCATCTTGGCATCAAAGGGACCCAGCCAGCGATTCTCTGGCAACTATGTTTTCAGCGCGCGCGCGCGCGCGCAAGCAGAGTCAACGTTTCGTGATGGAGATTGCGAGTTGCGCTGTGGTTCTTTTGCGTGGTCCATGTGAACGCATTCGTGTTCTTTTCTTTTTCTGAGGTATCGCAAGACGCTTGAGCGCAACGGCGTCACAGTTTCAAAAGCACTGTTGCAGTGGCTGGAGGCAGCCACTGCGTGAGCACAGTGGACTGAGGTGGTGCTGTGGCAACCTGCAGCCCTTCTTGGAAAAATAGGTCAAAGTAAAAGAACCTGTGTTGTTGTTGTTGGGCAGGGGATCTTCAGTTGGCTGCAGCCTGCCACGTGTGCTCCCTGCTTCTCTCAAAGCGTTTTTTTGCAGTTGTGGGAAGTGCGTCTTTGCAATTTCCAATTGCCGAGTGTCAGATCTGCTAAGTCCAGCTCTACCGGCCCGTGTGACTACTTGTCTTTCAGCTAAATTTCTTCAATGTTGTGAAAGAAGTGTTGATGATGACAGTTTTGGGTGCTTCTTGGAATGTTGATGCTGAAGCTATTCTTTTTTAGTTCTTTTTGCTTCCAGCCAGTCCCAACACAACCTCTAGTCAACCAATGTTTTGTTTGGAAGTGGCTGGCTCAGATTTTGGCTGGCTCAGATTTGACAGACCAAAAAGGTCTAGGGACCTAACCCAAGCGAGGGAACGCAAGGTTGTAACATGTAAGTAAGACTGTAAGAACAACCGAGAACAAAAGACAGCATGTATGTTCTTTCATCATGAGTTCAACAAAAAATCTTCTGTGTTCAACCACTCTTTGAAGCCCTCGCCTTGGAAAGCCCAAACACGCAGCACCAATTGTTGGCAGAAAAAGGTTTCGTGTGCTTTTGTTTTTTGGAAAAGTTGTGCCAGAACTCTTGCACCTTGGGACAAGTGTAGGGTAATTCTTGACCAACCTGACTCCTGGCAGGCCGTGACTTTATGGACAGCTTTGCTTAGCCAGGGCTAAAAAGAATCGCATCCCTTGGTTGGGTGGGAGTGTTTTTTGACGTTTTTCACCGTGCAAAAATGGTGCTCTGGTTTGTGCTCGCTGTTACAGCTATTAGGCAACACCCAATATATATATATAATGACATAAGCACTTGTGACGGACCAACTCTTCAGTTTGGATGCAGTTCCCAGGTGCCCCTCGCAATTGAACCATACTAATGCTATAGTACTAGAATTCGCTGATGTGATAGACATTTTTACAACAAGCAAACAGTACATCAATATAGTGTTGCTTACAACAAGAAAGGATACACCCTTTCAATGCCGTTTGGATCAAACGAGTTCGACAACAGACGATCACATCTTGCCAGGCAACTTTCCGTTTTCAAAGTGTTTCCTATCAGTCTGATCAGTCCAGAACAAAAGGCGTACCCTACTAACAGCATCTAAAAGCATGCTGCTAGGGTTTCCGATATTTGGTGCCTTTAGTATGCAATAAGAGTCATTATTATTACATTGCGAGCTTATCGCGGCCCGCTATTTCTCGATCGCCGGCCGGCCGGCCGCTATTTGGCCAGCCGGCCGGCCGGCTGGTCGCGAAATAGCAGGCCGGGTTGCCCGCGCTGTCAACAATTTGACTTGTGCCATCATCTGAATGGTTTTGAGTGCCTGCAGTCCAAGGTTGGGTGCCCCGCAATATTTCGGGACACTTCCGTTGGAAGGAGATGTCCGTCCAGGAACCACATTGCCTCCAAACATGCCGACTGCGAGACGATTGCGCAGCCGTCCAATACAAGGAGGACACTTGCAGGTTTATGGTCAGTGATGGTAAAGAAACATTTTTGGACGGTCAGGTGCTGGTGCGGCTGAACAATTGCTCAGAGCAAGATGCTAGCCTTAACTTGACCGTGCCTGGAGCACAGTATCTTCAAGGAGAATTCGGAGTGATGAACTTCTACCAGAATGATGCCTCGTATTCTCGTGCCGGATCGCTTCCTGAGAGACAGTTGGTGTTGGGTCGGAGACCGAATGTGCAACGAATCCCTGAATCTTGTGCAAAGCTCCTTGACAGAGCCAAGGGTCCCAAAGATCATTCGGTTTATCATACGGTCTATCCAAGTTCGGGCCTTTGATCTCTTGAGTCTTGCTATTTGGTTTTGGGGTGGAAGATGGGAGAAGCTAATATAAATGCATGGGAGAAAACATATGCATTCCTTGCATTCTTCACAGAAGGAAGCAGACTGCCTTTCAACTGGTCAAGGTATAGGTGTCAAGTAGACAGAGCCGTGTCAAGTAGACAGAGCCGTGAACCATCCAACGTGCACTTCGAGCTTTGCAGGAGGTTGTCACACCTCACGAAATGGTAGAGAGATGTAGAGAGTTGGGGCTGCAAAACTCCTGGACCAAGGTCATTCTGGTTCCTCCTCCACATTAACTCCTCCGACTTCGAAGATTCAACGTTAATCAATGCGCCAGAGTTCTTTGGGGATACCATCGCTTGTATTGACTCCGACGTGGTCAGCAAGGCCTTCAAGCATGGCCAAGATGCCTTCGACTTGCGCTTGCTGCCAAGAGAGGTTGAATCAACTCCCCTCTATGATCAGCCTCCTGCACTGCAACACGGCACACTGGCTTTGGGGGTGCCACCCTGCGAGAAGCCAAGCCAGGACTTGCTCTTGGGGACCTTGAGCGAACCTGGCATTTATTCATTGCACCCATGCGAATGCTTCGGGGCAGCTTATGCAAGCGTCGAGCCTGTGCACGAAGACTCTGATGCAGCGGTGCCACGCAATCCGCAGGGCTACTTCAACAACGGCTCTGCTCCTAAGTCAGTTCGCAGTAACTTGAAACCTGTAGGACTAACCTTGTGGCAGGGTAGTAGAGTTTTTGGATCACAACCAAGGAAACAATAGCTGAGGTTTCTGACCAGCTCTTATTCTCCGGCCCGTACACCTGCGAAGAGTCTGTCCGGGTTTCCCAGAAATCCATGCTGTTGTTTCCCCACCTCCTTGGGCTTTGGTGTTTACACTTAGGGTGACTTTTTGTGGACTTGAGGATCATCAAGGGAAGGTTCTTGACCCTCAAGGTAGAAGGCATGTGAGCTCCAATTTTGGAGGGTCACTTCAGGGGGCTCGAGGATGTCCAGGGTGGCGCAGCAGGCGCCTCTTTCGGATGTTTCAGTAATTCGACGCGACGGCATGGCTGTTACACATCCGAAATGGCCTTGAAACGTGGAGATGACACACTCAAGATCAAGTACGTAGGGTGTGGTTGCTCCAAGCCCTGGAGAAACCTTGGTACGACCTAAGTAGTGCAGCGGCGGGGTCCAACCAGCTTCAAGTAGTTCACACCCAAGGTTCCAAAGTCTCTTCAAGACGAATGCATAACAGCGGATGCATGACTGCAGACCTGAATCATCCTGCAACAGCCTGACGACCTCTACGAATAGAAGCTGGTTACAACACTCACAAGCATGTAACAGTACAAACATAGCGGGTACACAAATGGACGTCTCCTCCAGCGACTTAGCTATGTTGGACAAGGTTCATCGCTGGAGCCCTGCTGCAGCTCCTGAATCCAAAGCATACACACACAATCACGCTCTACACTACACACGTTCACCTCACCCACACAGCACACGTCACCGCACACAATGTACATGTAACGTACCTACGTGTGCTTGACGAGCACTTTAGTGTAGGTTCTTTTTGCTCAAGGTGCTTGGAAAGCCAACCTTTTGATAACTTAAGATGAGTTGAGGGAGCTCAAGATTCATTTGCAAAGCTTCTGAGGCCTCGGTCGGGCATTTCAGCCACCTGGAAATGGACGAATGTCAAAGGGCCTGTGTTTCCAAATCTGAGTGTCAGTTCTACTTGTTTGGAAAGACTGCCCAGACCTGCACCTTGTTCCAGAGCTGCAGCTACATCCAAGATGTTGGCCTGCAGATCACGAACGAGGTCTATGGAATGTCTCCTGAGTTTGGTTCTTATTGCCGCATCGCAAACCCAGAACAATGTTGGCAAGAGATCAAGCGCCGAAGCATGCTGAGTTTCACTCCATCGAATTTGCCCAGCTGCCTTTTCCAAGAGCAATATGAGGCTTGCGATGCGCTTCAGCTTCTTCTTGGAAAGCAAGATGGTCCTTGCAGCCGCTGCCAGTACATTGATGCCTCAAGTGCATTTGCTGCGGTTGGTCTCAAGAAGGTTCCACCCCCAGAAGATTTTCCATCGGCCTCACAGATTATGGTCTCTTGCAATGACACTTCCAGAATGTTTAGCAGGCTGCAGAATGGTCTTCGCTGGGAAGGTCCAATGCAAGGTGATGCAACCTTTACGTGCGTGAGCGGTGAATGGGTTGGTGAACTTGGCCCTTGGCAATATCTGACGAACTTGACGTGCCAAGCTTAGGGATGGTGCGGGGCAAGGATGCTGAAGGCCAAAGACAAGATTCGGCGCGGCACACATGTATTATACTGTATGATGCATTTGTACTCACGGGCATGTGACTAGAGTATGAGTTCTCAGGTTTTGATTTACATACTTTAGGGTGTTTGTACTGTGAGCTCCTGTGTGCCCAGGAACACATGCATGACATTTTCTCAAGACATTGGACACAAGGAGCGTAAAGATCCGCGAGCACTGACCTGACCAGTACAAGCATTTTTTGATCATCTTTGTGGTTGTCATCCAACATGGTTGGACTTTCCTTTGGACTTTTGAGTTTTCATTGGACATTCTCTTGGGCTTTTGAATTTTATTTGACGACGTTGTTTGAAGGTGTTTTGTTTTCATTGGAATTGCTGGCGGCGATTTTGGTGTTTGTCAGTTGTGGCTTTTCTGGGGCTCGTAATAGTTGGTCCCGTTAAGATTTTCCATTGACTGATCCCTACGCCAAATCAAGCCAAGGCCAAGGCTTCACTATCTAGGTATTCTTTTCTTTTTACACTTGTACCAGTGGCTGGCGCCTGCAAGTTTTGCTAGTTTTGCTCCCTTGGAAAACACATCTTGAATCTTGATCTTGGGTTTACATGAGTTTACTGTAAGCTTTGGCTTAGTTAAAACTTCCCGTCTTCCCGTCTTCACTTCTGAAACGCCACTGCTTTTGCAAAAGCACCTTGAGTAGGTTCAGGTTCAGGTTGAGTGTAGGGTTTATGGTTGCTGCTGGCCGTTTCAAATCTGTCCCCCCTACCTTGCAGCGCCTTGCAAGCAGGATCTCGCTTTAAGGTTTCGGGCTTCGGCTACTTCTCGCCTTTGCAGTCTTTGTCACTATTCTGCTTGCTTTGTCGTGTAATGTAGCAGTCACTCGTCACTAGTCAATAGTGTCTTGGGTTCAAAGCTTGGGGTTATACCCACTTTCTGCAATCTGCTAGTTGAATATGAAACACTGCACAGACAAAGCAAATTCCCAGCCTCAGAGAACACTTTGCCTACCAAGCATGTATAATTAAAACCTGCTCCTTCCATTTCTGCTAGCTGCTGAGTCTGCTAAGTGAGTTAAGCTAAGTTGAGGACAGGCTATCCGCTTTTGCTTGGCCAGTCCCTGGTTGACTTTTCTACAAAAAGCCTTCACCATTCAACCTCCAGTTCTGCAGTTAGTTATTTTTTTGGATGCTGCTGCTGCTCGAGTTCAGCTCGAGACTAGAGACT